ATAATATACTACAATATAATACAATATAACAATATATATTATAGTATAATATAATATTTTATAATCCAATAGAATATGATATAGTATGATGAAGTATAGTGTAGTATAATATAATATAGTCACTCACAATATATAACATATATATATATATATTTGTATTTATATTTGTACTTATTTATATTTATATTTATACGCATATTTATATGTATATGCATATATATATATATGTATGTATAAAATATTATATATATATATATAGCGAGAGTGTATATATATATGTATGTATATAGCATGTTGTTGCGAGCCGAGGTTTGCTGTCAAAGCTGCCGTCGAAGCTCTTCGAGACGATTGATGTGAGAGCCTTTGCAGAAGTCTTGCAAAGCCATGGGGCACAGCGACTTATTCTGCAGCGCGGCCACTCTATGCAGGTTGCTTGTCAGCTTTAGTTTACGTGCAAAAGGACGCCAAGTTGATTCCGCTCCTGTCCTCGCGAGCGCTCAATGCCAGAACCCGTAAACCCAAACCCCCCAAAACGGAGGGTCTGATATCCAAGGTTGCGCTTGCCACAGGCTGGATGCCAGCCTCCCACCTTCCAGAAGCGACCGTTTCGGAGCAAGACCTCGCGGCTGTCGCGCAGAACTTGGGGCTGCAAGTTGCGGATGCGACCAGTATCAAGGCGATCTGTGTCAGATGATGGATATGAATTTCTGTGTGTACATATATATATATATTATATATATATATAATGTAAGGGGAAATCCATCTCTCCACCACACCTGTTTACCAGTGTATGCATCTAATTTTCTGTTTATCTAACTGTAACTATCTACCTATCTTTATTTCTATCTACCGATCTCTCTTTCTATCTCTCCATCTATCAGCCTGTCTATGTCTGCCTCTCTCGCTCTATCTAGCTGTCTCTGTATCTATGCGGCCTTTATACATGTAATTATCCACCTGTCTCTGTATCTATCAATATGATTATCCACCTATCTTTGTATCTATGAATCTGTCCATGTATGCACCTATCCATCGACCTACGCACCTACCCGACCTTCCGAGCAGGCTAGCTCTAGACATGACACTGCTCCGTGGCGAGAATCCATGTTTCGATGCATTTCCAGGTGGTGCCAGGAATGCTGCACCGTGCCAGCTTCGGATATTGTTGCTCGAGCCTTCATTCGGTGGTGCTGCACGTGACAAGGCTGCTGCCAGGCAGGCCAGCGTCACTTAGGTCAGTGGTCTACTGTTGCCTGTTACCTCAGGAGTCACGACGTCATGACATGGTGGGTCAGAATTGTTACTAAGACAGCAGTGATGGAAGGAGATCCAACTGCCAGGTGTGAGCTCGGCCATCCAGCCACAACGTCTCCAAGACTCCGTACTTCTGCTGGGATCCAGCAGCAGTGGCAAATCCACAGTCCTGCGGGACCTCGTGTCATCCCTGACTTTCAAGTATCAGGCTCCGTAAGCAGATGTCTGTGAGTTTTGGCTGGTACTTGTTGCCCGAGACAATAGCTAGCATTTGGCACTAGAGGCCCTGACAAGAACCGGGAATAGCCCCAAGGCCGCACCCGGATAAGAGTGTGAGGATATGGGAATTGGCACATAGAGAGTATTGGAGTCTGATGCAGAACATTTGCGGCACAGGAATGGAACCTGCGACTGTGGCTTGAGTATCTTGAGATATCAAAAGAGTCGTAGGAGGTAGCGGGATGTTGGCTTCCGTAAGCGGAGATAGGTTCTGACTCTGTTGCATTCTCAATATTATGCTCTAGTGCCCTACATGTGTTCCATGTTGCATTGTACTGAGCTAGTAAGTTTTGGGCTCCCGAACACTGGACCAGATTACCCCGCCACAACAGTTGGACCCGTAGTCTGAAGGAGGCCTATATACTCTCATCGAAAGCCTAATCAGACCGGGTTTGCGAAAGCCTAATCAGACCGGGTTTGGGGCCTCCTTCGAAAGCTGAACTCTCGCAAGGGCTGCATTCCTGCGACAGGTAGTAATTGTCGACTTCATGGCAGAGTTAAGTGCTTGCGGCTTTCACCCTGCTCGGACGCTGGGCCCAGCTGACAATCCTGAGAACTGCTCATGTGGCATAAGGTTATAAGCACAAGCTGTGCTGTCGGGGAGGTGGGCTGAGGGTTTTCCAGGTTTGCTCCGTAGGAGATGCGTTTTCTGTGCGCGTGATGGAAAGTCTGAGTTCTGAAGTAAGGGAGGACAGCAGGGTGTCTCGCCGCCGTGAGTGACAGAAGCATGCTTAGGCAGGGTATGGCCATGATGAAGCCCCGAACAAGAGGCTGAACCCCTAGCTCACTTTACAATGCCCTACAGAGTATGTTTCCCGCCTTGAATTTCTAAAAGAAACCGGCCCCCAATGAACCAGGCTGGGTCACTTTAGCTGGTACATATGACCTAATTACTTGGACTCTCCAGCATGATGTGTTCTGGGGAGTGCTACAGGGTTGCAGGCGAAACTCAGCAAACGGATGTGCCAAGCTAAGCGCGCTTCAAGCACGGGCCCAAATCGTAGCTGAGGGAACCGGTGAACCAATGACTTCGAAATTCTCTCAACCGAGGACGGTTGTGCCCGCCGAGTCCTCTGCTCCTGTAGCTTTCGTGCAGAAGGTCATCCAGGAGCAGTGCCCTGAGGTTGCTGGAAGAATGAGCATAATGGAACTTAAGGCTGATGGACACACGCCCGCCCTATCCCAAAGGGCACATATACTAGGCCTCCCGTCGGACTCGTATGATTTGGATGATAGTGGTCCCAGATGATGGTGATGATCTTGGTGACGACGCTTGGGACCAATCTTGCAACTTGTCACGTCGTTATGTTCGTAACCGTCGTCGTCGTTGTTGTTGAACTGCTGTCGCTCTGGCTTTGGCTGTGGCTCCCATCTGAACCACGCATGCATTTAGTACTGGCTCGGTGTGCTGACTCATCGAAATCTCAGGTTCTTGTCGCAGAGTTTCTCGATGCAGCAGTGGCCATTCAGTGTGCGAAGCTGTGTGCCTTGGACTAAAGCGACACAACTTGGAGCATCCGAGAACTCAGTAAGTGAATGCTGGGCAAGCCTTTCGGTCACGGAAACCCAACAACAAGGGCAACCGTGACCTGCTTGAAACTTATTCAGCGAGTCCATAATCCGTCAAGCAGTTTGACGGAGAATTGGTCCTCATTATCCACACCCCGTCAAAGGACCAGGGGATGTTCCTGCAATTGCTCCTGTTGTGGCGACAATACATGAACATGCTTGCTTTGCTTGCTAGATCTTGCGAAACACGACATATATTCACATTTTTTTGATGGATGCAATCCTGCACTGGCTCGGGAACCTTGACTGAAAGGAATGATTCTTTTATTTTATCATTCGCTAGTATGGAAGATTGCCAACAAATCAGGCCCTGGACCCTTATGAAAATATTCAAGCAGACCCTGTAGATCCACGTCGAAACACTCACAAACCCGACTTGTCTCCGTTTGTTAGGGGGTGGAAAGTCAGCCGCCAGAGATCCCAATACCATTCAATACCCCCTGAATAAATTTGGACATATACCGTATACTCAACGTCACAATAGTATTTAGTCCACTATACAATGTGCGGTGTGTGCCGTAATTCTGGGGTATTCGGCTTTCTGGGGCATTTGGAGCTTCTTGCTGCGAGGTTTCCGAGGTCGGAGAGTATGACAGGTCTTGGCGTGCTTGTTGGTAAGGCCAAAGCCATAGTTTCCACAAAGCCCAAATTCGCTGTTCTTCCATACCTTACAAACGCTAAATCCAAAATTCCTCCTTGGAGCCACAACCGTGAGGCAATGGTGCCGGAATTCAGCTGGTGGCGTCACTGCGTGGCTCCCTCGCCGACCTCGTAGACTCTTTCCTCAGCCAAGGCCTTGTGCTGTTCTTAGTAGGCATGGAAGCAAGGGGTAGGTTAATCCCGATAAAATCCCAAAGGGCGACCGCTAGCGGATCTCAAGCAGGCGTTTCCCTTTCTGGACAGCTTGGTGGTTTTTAGGACCGTTTTGGGGGTGGTTTTAGGGATTGCAGGGTTTATTTTGTTCACCGTTTAAGCTTCAATTACGGATTTGGTTCTGGGAGTAAAGGCTCGGGTTGAGGGCGAAGGGTCCCAGTCAGAGTTCAGGCTACAGGGATTTCGGTTGGAACGGGTGCAGGGTCGTAGGTCTAAGGGTTTATGGTTTCTGTGTGGTTGACTAAACAGGTATGCTTGTAGACTCTATTTTCCTACCATGCTTATAAGGATGATTTTTTGCTGCAGGACAGGAGTTCTGGAGTTCCCTGAGGTGGGGAATCGAGACCTGCATGGATCCTTTGTTGGTGGAAGACGTGTTGCTGAGGGGTCGAACCGCAGACGCCCCACATAGCGTATAGGGACCGTGCCCCCCCCCCCAAAAAAAAATAGCTAACGGCGCTTCTAGGGGTAACTACGAGCTACATGAGCTTCAGCAGGTGGTGCGATGGCCCACCTAGTTCGGTCTCATGTCAAGCTCTTGGCAGTCTAGTCTAGGTCGCCTTTAATGATCATATGCTTCAAGACATGTGCCGTCTAGGCTCCTGCGGGATCCTCCTTTGGAGAAGACGACGCATATCATGTTTCTCATCAGAGGCTTCCATAGGAGCAACACGAGCTGTAAGTGCAGGCATCTTGTCATCAAGAGCATGTGTAGACTTGACAAGTCTTGAGTCTTTCCGTTCTTGACACTCGGACTTTGCATCGAAAGAGCAGTGAACGAATATGTCGAGGTTGTTAGCAGTTATGCCCAAAATCACATGGCAGGTTTCGACAAGGGAGTGCCTGCCTGCTACTCGTTTCCCTTCGTCACGGTGGTGGCTCTCAATCGAAATTTGGATGCACTGCGAATCTTCTCGCCCTTCGGTGCCACTGCCTGTGCCTTGGCTCTCAATGATCCTTGCATACCCGACCTTAAGGACGAAACGACCTCGAATTCTGCATGGGCTTCAGATACACGGACATTCCATAGATAGGGTTTGCACCAAGAGCCTTGTCTATGTTCATGACCCACAGGGATCGTGCAAGCGTTCCCGAAGCAGCAGTGGCTTGTAATAGTTGTAAGCCTGCAGAAGTGTCTTCCAAGCAGACCGAAAGAGCGGGCCTAGAGCAGTGTGTATACAGTCTGGTTCAAAGTCTGTCATTTCAGCTTCAGGGTCTAGTCTAGAGAAAACCCTCCTCTTTTGAGACGATGCGATGACCTTCTGACAGGTGCCATGGTTGCTGGTCGACGGCCATGCTGCCTCGCCCACCATGTGCCAAACAGCCCCAGCTTGCGACCGAAAGTAGTGGTGCCCTTGAGCCTGGGTCCATCCTAAGTTGCTTCCTGGGACAACGTGCTTTCAGTGGTTGCGACACAGGCACTAATTTTGCGAAACCCGGGAAGTTTGTAGGTCCTAGGTAAGGTGCAAACTTGGAGTCAATCGTTAAGCACTCGCGGCTGAGCCCTGAGCCTAAACGCAAAGTCCTGCCCAAGGAAGCGCTTGCAGTCACATCCCGGATGATAAGTTGAGGCGCGTGGTTTGACCGCCAATTTTCAATCCTCCCGGGAGGAACGGGTTATACTTTGCGAAGGTGAAGCATTACGCGATGCAAGAGCCCCTACTTAGGTGAAGGTGTGTCGCAATTCTTTGCGAAATCGTCGAAGGTTGGCAAGGTGTTCCTCCCCTTCTTCTCGACAAGTTTTACCCCTGTCCTGCCACGGGGTATAGGATTTTTGGCAGTGTACAGAGTTTGGGGAACTTGGGCCAAAGGTCCACTCCCGTTGGATAGTCATTCAGAGGTTCCCAGAGAGCCCAATGCGTCTGCTAAGCCGCTTCAATCATCTCTGGCCCTTCGTCTGGTCAACTTTGCTTCAAACGCGTGATACCTCCAAGACACGAAAATTGCTGGTGGCGTGGCATTCACCGGACTTTCCGCTCAGGTAATTCTGCCATTGGGCTATCAGTGACAGACAAAGCTGCAAGCCCGGTGTCAATGTTTCCTTTCGGTCACAACGAAGTCTTAATGCCAGAACCCCATGTGCGTCTTTCGTGAATAGTCTGAGCAGGTCTTAAGAAGTTGAGGTGCGCGGTTTGCCATGAGTCACAGGGCAAGCTTTCCTGTCAGGCACGGGTGCAGCATATCAGAGTTCTGAGCCCGGGTCCTTCTTGGCTACAACTTTACATTTTTGTTCCAATAAAACACTCCATAGTTACACTCAGGAGTTATAAGACAAATCATCCTTTTTTGCTGAATGGAGCTCCTCCCAAAGAACACAGGGAACCCCGAAGCCCTAAAAGAACGCCCTACATCTTAGAGAAGCCTCGAGACCCGAAGCTCGGCAAGCCCAGGGCCCCCAAAACTTCCCCCCTAGAACCGGATGTCACTGGTTTAAGGTTTGGGGTTCAGGGTTTAGGGACTTAGGGCTTCGGGTTCAGGGTTTAGGGCTTAGGACTTAGGGCTTAGGGTTCAGGGTTTAGGGTTTAGGGCTCAGGGTTTAGGGTTCATTGTTTCGGGTTTACTGATAGCCTTATTGAGCCCGGCAACCTGGACCCAATAAGCTCCGTTCCGCCTAAAGAAGCGCTAAAACCTGAACCCTGCAATCCCCTACGGTTGATGATGTAAATCCTGCATTACCCCATAAGAAGGAATATACCATAATTCCCATAGTTTAGAGGCCTTAAGGTAATGCAGCATTTATATCATCAACCGTAGCCAGCGAAATTGGCAAGGCCTAGAAATCTAAACACAACGTGCAATCTTCATAGCCCCCCCATGAAAAGCTGTAAGCCCCTTACACACAAGAAAACTGGTGCATACTCCTTTATCATGACACAACATTTTTTCTGTTATGATACTATAATGTACGCAGGTTTCGACTCGGAATTTGCAAGGCCCCTCTATTCAACCCTGCAAAACCGTATAAGACCCCATCGCCGCCTCGTCATCGAAGCCTTCCAGGAAGATGAACACCTCACAGGGCCCCTGTATTCGACCCCCGAAGTCTCTTTGCCTAAAGTTTAGCAGCCATCACCCCTTAATTAGTAGGTAGAACTCGTATAGCTGTAGGTAATTAAAGTCCCAGGTAGAACAACCCTTCTTCTAGAACCCTTTCACGGACCCCTGCTCGAATCGTTGTGGCCCCTCTATGGGGAGTTCTCTAAATGAGGGTCCTTTTTTGGGTCCCCCCCCCAATATAGTACGGCACCCTTACAAACAGGACCCCCGAAAGGCACCCGAATTTAGAGAACTACCCAAAAAGAACCCTTATAGTACCCCTATAGAAACCCTATAGGTACCCTAATAGATCCCTTTAAAGGAACCCTCAAAAGGGACCCTAAACCCAAAGCCCTAAACCCCAAACCCTAAACCCCTAAACCCTTTTAGAGAACTAACCATAAACAACCCTTATTGTACCCTCATAGATCCCTTTAAGGAACACTAAAAGGGACCCTGAGCTTAGAGAACTACCCCATATAGAACCCTAAATCCTAAACCCCTAAACCCTTAAACCCCTAAACCCTAAACCGTTTAGAGAACTACCCCCCATAAAGACCCCTTGTAGTACCCTCATGGATCCCTTTAAGGAACCCTAAAAAGGGACCGTGAATTCAGAGAACTACCCCATATAGAACCCTAAGCCCTAAACCCCTAAACCCTAAACCCAAAATTAAAGGAACCCTTAAAGGAAACCCTTAAAGGAACCCTTAAAGAAAACCCTTAAAGGCATTTAGAGAACTGCCCATATATGTTCAGAAACCCCTAAACCCAAACCCTTACAGAAGCCCCAAAAAAGGGACCCTAAATTCAGAGAACTGCCCATAAAGAAAAAGAAGCTTTATAGTACCCTTGTATAGAAACCCTATGTAGAAACCCTCATAGATCCCTTTAAGGAACCCTAAAAAGGGGCCCTAGTTTAGAGAACTACACACCAAAAATGCTCAGAACAGGGAAGCCTGGCCTCGGCCCGCCAGCGCTGGCGCGAGGCCGGCTCGATGAAGGCCAGCCCACGGAAAAAAACGAAAGGTTTAGGGTTTTATAGGGTTTTTATAGGGGTTTCTAGGGGTTTATAGGGTTTTATAGGGGTTTCTAGGGGTTTCTAGGGGTTGCTAGGGGCTTATGGGGGTTTATAGGGGTTTCTAGTGATTTATAGGGGTTTATAGGGGTTTATAGGGATTATAGGGTTTAGGGTTCAGGGTTTAGGGATTAGGGTTCAGGGTTCGAGGCTTACCTTTTTTTTGGTGGATTCAGGGTTTAAGAGTTGAAAGGGTGCGTGGATTCAGGGTTTTAGGAGTTGAGAAGGGTGCTCAGGGCTCAGTCTGTCGAGGTGTTCAGTTTGTTTTGTGGGCTTGGGGTTGCAGCGGTGGTTTAGATTTTGTGTTGTTTTAGGGTTTGGGGGGGCGGGAAAGAACTGCGGCTAGTGGCGCTGCTGTATCAGATTCTCTCCATCAGCTTCTTCTCCTCTTCCGATCTAGGACGAAACGGTGTCTCACTTCAAGGATTTGTGTGTTCGATGCTTTGTAGCTGGTTGCAGCAGCTCCGCAGAGAGTCCCTAGACCGAGGCTTCCAGGATCCTGCAGGGCTCCGAACCCTATCAAGTGTAGGTCATGAAGTTACCAGGGTTTACCAGGGTTTAGGGTTTAGGGTTTAGGGTTAGTTGGCCCAATAGCCTTGCAAGTATTAGGCATCATCAGGTTTTTGGATCGACAAGTATGACTTGCATGTTCTGTTGGAAGCCCGACCTCAGGCACCAAGTGCCGGAGCAGTTGGTTGGGAGGCACAGGCCGGCACAGATGCCGGACTCCCAGCAGAAAGTCTTGCTGATCCCCCCTAAACCCTAAACCCTAAGCCCTGACTTAATTAGTTGCCTTTGAGGCACCAGAACGTCGTCCCAAGACGGCCCCAGACCCCAAAACGCGCGAGGTGGCGATTTCGAAGTCGACCCTGGCTCCCTTGTTGTGTCGGGGGTTTAGGGTTTAGGGTTTAGGGGTTTCGGGTTTAGGGGTTTAGGGTTTAGGGGTTTAGGGTTTGGGGTTTAGGGTTTAGGGGTCTAGGGTTTTGGGTTTGGGGTTTAGGGTTTCGGGTTTAGGGTTCTGCACCGTCGAAACTCCGACATAGTTGTGAAGGTTTCATGTCAGAGGTTGGTCCGGGAGGGGGGGGGGGGGC